CACCTCCCTTTCTTCATGTGTTCAATACTTTTTCCCTGTGCCATTCCACATTATTACAAATAACTTCATTTCTGGACATTTATGGTTTGATTTCTTTGTATGTATGGATCACTTGGGTTGTTACCAACATCTGGTGAAAATTTCATGTCATTAGCACCTCTAGTAATATATTTACTGAGAAAAATGGTGATGTGTTCAATACTTACTGTATTTTACCTGCTGTATGAGTGACAGCCAGGACAGCGACACTTCAGGGGGCCAATCATATTTCCTCCAGAGCCAATGCCCCTGTGACCTCCACCCCCGAAGTCGCCAACTACAACAGGTTGCACAAAGCTAAATATGATAAATTTTACAGGAGTAGCAAACACATAAACAGCAACTTTTTATCAGAACTACAACCACGAGTCTGCACTCAGTTTCTTATGCTGATGCCCTTCAGAATTTATACATACAAAAATTTTAAAAATGTAAGATTTATCACATTTGTGGTGCTATGTAACTCTTGTAGTATATCAACAAAATAATGTGGCCTCTTCCAACATTTAAGTTGCCTGACTTAGATGTTTAGTTGGTGCTGTTATAAAAGGGGGAAAAAAACATTCGAGCACTATAAGCCACAGAAGATGAAAATAAATAATAATTTAGTAAATGTGAATGTGAAATCCACTGATTTGTAATTTTTGACAGGGATCATCTTGACAGTTAAAAGCCAAAACGTTCTCAGTTGTTGACAACTTTCATGAATGAACAATAATAAACCTGTCTAGCATGTTCAGCGCTACCAAACTTTCTAAAGCTTCTGACAGCAAACTCAAACTGGTAAAACCTTTCAAAAAATGTTCTGGTCTACTGCTTTCCCATCAGTAAAGTACAAAGAAAAAAAACTCAGTTCCCTGTTTTGGCATTTTGTTCAAGTTTAGCCCTTTTAGCTAAAGCTTGAAGCTTTTTTCATTTTTTGGTAGTGGATGGGAATTGTGAAACAATGTGACTGGTTCAGATTAAAGTGTTTTAAAAAATCACTAATATTTCCACATTTTTAGTTCATCTTTCACTTATTTTTCTGCCCTTCAGCAGAGCGGAGTGTGTTATTCATGTTTGGACAATGTGTGCAGGTAAAGAGCGACAAAGCTTACAACATGGGCAAAAGTGCATCAGACTTAAAAAATGAATATGATGGAATACTAATAGATTTTTTTATAAACTATAGCCTTTTTAATCTCTTTTCTGTGTATTTTTATTGCAAAAAATGTCTAAATTAGCTTTGAAAAAATAAATGTATCAAGGTCAGTGGTGCTATCTACAAATTGCAGTAATAAGAGAAATGAGGGGAATCTTTAGCTGTTGCTTTCTGCTTTAGCCTTCTCCTTCTCCAGATACTGTATTATGCAGGAGGGTTTCTTTATCTCCACACCAGCTCAGCCCTGAGCCTTGAGCTCTGGCAGAGTCAGTAGTTCAGAGAAAGTGTATCAAATTTCATCAGCTCGCCTGTAAATCAATCATCTCAGGCACTCGATGAAGGGGGGGCAGCGGAGTTAATGCACAAAAGGCAAGCGGGGGGCAAACCTGAAGTTTTCTACCCCATTATCCGTCACGGGGAGTTTGGTTGAGCTTCGGAGTTTTTTCTCAGCTTCAGCCTCTCCAGCCACTGCATCCATGTGAACCCCGGCCTATCATGCTTCGCTCGGGGGCACACCTGAGGAAGATGCCCTTGGAAGGGTGGAGGATTTTATCCTCTCTTCCTCGACACATTCAAATTCTCCAGGTCTTCTCAGGTTCACTCCACCTCTTCCAGCACATCAGCGCGCTGCAGCTCTGACCTTTTCAAGGTTTGGAACAGAAAGTGATTTTCTTCCAAAAATGATAAAACGCAGGAAGGATGACATTGTTAACTCTCACCGTGTGTTTCATTTTTATTTGAAACCCTGGAACCCATCCCTACTGTCTCGGGCGATATCCACACATTTCCATTTTCTGTATGTACTTTGTCAATATACAGTAATACACTGCGGCTGCAAACTACATTCTGCTGACATGATTACATTTGTTTAAATCTTTTCTCCGGGACAAGCTTGCAGAATATCAAGCAGAACACAAGCATTTTGTTTTTGTATATTTCCAGTGTAACTGTTTGGTTTTAATATATTGAACAGGGTTTCAAGCAGAGTATTCCATCTTCTTCATTGAAATGCTATGAGCGAATTATCTCGTTGCTCAATGGAGAATCCTGTGGTTTTGGTTACATTTTATGACCATGGTTAGACAAACCAGTTCTAGATGAGGGATTAAGGCTGTTTCCTTGCAGTCTGTTTTAATTATCAGAAGAACCAACGTCCACAAGAGGGAAGTGTTATCACATTCATCCCCCCTGTTTATTTGCCTCCTACCTTTCTCAGACTTGGTGTTTGAGGATGAGCTGGCTGAGGAAGCAGAGGAAATGCAGAGATGTGGGTGATGTATATTTAGTGTGCTTTCACAGATGGTTCAAGAGGTAAAAATCTATCTCCTCCCATGCACGCACACACACACACACACACACACACACACACACACAAACACACATTTGTAATGAGTCATTTTTCTGCCAGTATCACTTCCTCTGCGTTTAATTTACAAAATGTGACTTCGCTACAAACATAAGTACTTGAATCATAATTTAGCTCTCTAACCCTGACTTGTTTATTAAGCCTGTGGTTCAGAGGAGCTCGCGCTGTGGTTGCTGCAGGCGCCATTGAGGGGAACTACGGTGGTTTTCCTGCGCACACAAAAATGTACAGTCTGTCAATTACTTAATCAATTCGCAGTTAATGGTTATAATGATTGATGAAGCTGTCTTGGATCAGTGCCTGCAAACTGACTTGGGGGAAGAGTCAGAGTTATAATAAGGTTCATGTAGTCAACGTTTGAGAGATTTGGTCCAAAATTATGGATTTTTACTGAACACAGCTTCCCAGCTCCTCCGCATGTTTGATCTTATGTGATATGTTGGCACTTAGTGTGTTTAGTGAATGACTCTCAGATACTAACATTGTGACTGATTCACTGTTTTCCATATTCAGTCCTAGTCTTGCCCCTGTGTATACTCACTAGTCAGTGTGCATTGCCAATGCAATGCACACTATTGTGATTCGTTTCCCATCCAAGTCATCTCAACTTTGGGACACCACTCCTCCTGCATACTTTGTCCTATAGCTGCCATTGTCATTTATGTATATCTGTAAATCTCCTGTGCTAAATGATGGCTATGCCTTTTGGTGCCTGTAAAACTTACATTTTTTGCAATGTAAATATTTAATAAGTTATAATGACAGTCAATGGAGCCTTGTATTGGTCCAATACTGCCCCCTGCTGTATCTACACAATATGGTACTGCACCATAGTTTAATAATATTTAAACTCAGTAGTTCAGTGATTACAATATTAATGTGATTGTATTTTGATGTTTTACTGTAAACTGTTAATATTGTCCCATTGTTGTAATATATTGCAGTTTAGTGTCAAAGATTGCATTGGCAATGTGGCCTCTTTCTGCACACATACAAACCAACCCCTGGCAATCCCCTCTGCCACAGCTCCAATGGTCTAAGGGTTAATGCCGTAGGCTTTCATGTGGGAGATCAGGGTTCAAAACCCAGCCACAGCATCTTTAACAAAAAATCTCTACACACTTCGTAAGGTCACAGAATAATCCTCATTACAAACACTTGCTGACTTGACAAGCACAAGCTGGTAAAGAAATCACATTTGAACTTGCTCACAGCTCATTCAGCAAGTCCACTGCTGTAGGCAAAGGCATGCCACAAGGCAATGTACACTTGTTTTTACATCGTAAAAACCTATGTCTAGTTGTTGTTGTGCTCTGTCTCCAACCTGCTGATGTTGTATTGCTTTCTATGCATTCATAATACTGTTGATGATTGTACAAGACCTTGTGAATTTATTTCTATGAAAGTTGCTTTATAAATAAAACTTTGCTTACTTATTTAAGAACGTTACATTTTATTTCAGTTCCTGTAATTATGTGGAAAGTATACATTTTCAATTTAGACATGAAAGCATGATTTCACTTGTGGTTTTAATTCTCATTTCTCTTTTCACGTCAAACCAAGGCTATGAAATGAAACAAAAATGTTCTCCTGGATTATCAAATGGTTCTGTTTGACAGTTTACTCCTGTAGTTTTCTAGATTCACTGATACGGCATGCTTAATGGATCCACATGCAACGTAAATAAAGCATTTTTATCTGCGTATAAATGTACAAAACTATCAGAACTGAGCCTTTTATATCCTAATAGACTCTTTCATTGACGTCACAGTTGTTGACCTTGTTTCAGTCACTTTGGCTTGTTGGTTCTGTAGGTGAACAAACACACCTTGGCAGCTAAACTTAGCTTATGTTTTCAGACACATTCATCATGGATTAAAAAAATATATTTTTATTTTCACCAGTTTGCTCTATACAGCCAAACCAGTGGCTCCAACACTGGGGTTGGAACCCATCTGTGAGTGACAAAGCACTAAGCTTGCAAAAATATTACTTCCAATTTTTCACTATAATTTTTGCTTCAACTACAACTAATAATAATAATTATAATAATAATTATAATAATACATTGTTGCAGCATGGCTCAGTTGGTAGAGTAGAGGTGTTGCCTCTCGCAGGGTTGCTAGATAAAACCCCGACCCAGGGATCTTTCTGAGTAGAATTTCAATGCTCTTCCATGCATGCATGGGTTTTCTCCGGTACTCTGGCTTCAGGGTCAGGGGGGGTCACTGGTGCCCATATCCAGCAGTCACTGTGTCAATCACAGGGCAATAAAATAATACAAAAGCAAAAGCCCTAAATAGAAAAAAATGCTCTATAAGTCATGCCCTTATGTTTTTGTATCAGCCAAAGGCATTTCGTTATTACTGTCACACAGCCCACAGGTTGAGAGGCTGGGTGAAAGAGTTGAGGTCACACAGAAGATGGTTGGACATGTCCAAAGGAGGGACAGTGGGTACATTGGTGGGATGTTAGAGGAGCTAACAGCGCAGTTAGGGAAGACATGAAGGACAGAGGACACAGAGGGAAGTGGAGCCAAGAAAGAAGAACTTCTGCCCTTATTTTGGAATCAAAAGCAAAAACTTTGGGAACCCCTGCTCTTTTTATAAAATGGCGGCTTTTATTCAGTTTGTTTATTTTGAATCCTTATTACTGGAAACACATGAAGTTGGGGGGTCCCTGCTGCTGGACCACATGACTAGCTTTATCCCTTTGCAGGACAGACTCCAGACTCCTCCCCTCTTCACGTCACCCCCGATCCTGATCTCTCCCAAAGCCTGAGCGGCAGGCAGCAACACTGTGGTGGCAGATCTGCGCAAAGCGGGGACGCTGCGTCTCATCCAAAACACGAGCAGAAACCAGCCGGAGCGAAGCGCGCGTGTTTGTTTGTGTGTGTGCGCGTGGAGAGGGGAGGATTTCTCGAGTCACAGCAACTTCAGACCGGCCTGGGCGGGGAGTGCTGAGTTTCTCCCACCGGCGGAGGCTGCAGGCGAGGAGAGAGAGGACAGACGGAACGGCAGTGTCCGCTCCGTGCCGGAAGTCTTTAATAGAAGCCGCCGCGGTGCGTCGGAGCAACTCTTGTCCGGCTTGTTGGAAACTTCCCAGCGCAGCATCGATCGAGGACCTCCCGCCCACTTCACCTCCACAACACTGGAAGGCGGAGAGAAGAAGGAGAGACTTGAGCAGCGGCTGCGGTGGATGGAGGAGAAACAGCAACACTTCTGTCTCTCGCCGCCTGCGTCTGTTTGCTAAAAACAAATCATCTCTCTGCAACTTTGCAGCCATTTGGATCTCGTTCAAGAGGGGACACCCCCAGCCTAGTTTTTTCCCCCCCTTCATATTGCAAACTCTCCAGTCATCCAGCCGACAGAAGAGGAGAACCGCTACAGACGTGAAATTGATGCTTTGGCAAGGGGGGAGGCGCGCCGCCGAGCCTGTAGTTTTGTGAAGTCTCCTGCGGCTCGTGGCGGGGGAGCTTGCGCCCGAGTGGGATTTGCAGAACTTGCATGCGTGGTCTTTGTCGTTCCGAGTGAGCCTGACCCCCCTCCACACTCCCCCCCTTCCCCCCTTTTATAATCCATCCGCTCTCAGGTTCTCAAGGACCGGATAGTTAAAGGTGCCATGGCGCTGCTGTGCGCGAGGATATGCGCGCTCCTGTTGGCACTGCACATCCAAGGTAAGCTACAGACATCAGCAAGGAATCATCTACCTTGTTC